AGGGTATCAATCTGCATTTCCAGAAAGCCGACAGAAACAGTGAGACCATTAAAATCTGCCTCACCCAGTCTAACCTATCCCAAAGTCTGCCAATACTTGAAGTGTATCCTACGCTGGAATTTCAATGACAGTGGTATGAATATCCATGGGAGACTGATTGATCTTTTATGAAATAATGTTGCTAGCATTTCCACCTGAGGTTCAGTTTCCAAGTATGCCTGTGAAAACCCGTTGACACGGACGTCTTGCAGAGCCTTGAAAATTGCAGCAGCAGCTAAACTCACTGGACCTGCATCTAGACAACTAAGGCAGCACATTGGCTGGAGAGATGGGGTTTCAATTCTGCTGTGGAGAACCCTCAATAGAACCACTTTCAAAGTTGTTGCTTGAAACTGTGCTACTTTGTTTCTGTATTTGGCTACTAATGATTCACAGTTTAGCCACTGACCCTACAAGAGCAATCGTCAGCCTTTTATGAGCTACTCACACCTTGTGAATTTTAATTTCCAGTTAATTGGAATACCATGCATGATCACTTGAAGTGATTAATAATTCATAAAACATATATTTTATAATATATAACATATAATTTATAAAACATAAAACATATGATTTATAAATTAATAAAACATGTATTAGTAAAATATATGTTGTATATATTATAGCAGGTACGTGTTCTGGGTATAAGCATTTATTTAAGATTTAAACACATGAATGGATTGTCTTCAGTACTGTAAGTATATTTATGACATTAGCAGTTACAAGGATTTCTAATCTATTCAAGTTATCAAAACCAAGAAAAGCCATTTCTCCTCTATTAAGTCTCTCTATAAAGTTGATCTTTAAACGTATTTTGGCCACATTATTCCCTGTTTCAGGTATAGAAATGGAGAAAAAATTCCCAGGTTGGTTATCAGTCCATTGAAACAGAGCATGAACAGTCCTTATACGGCAACAAATCCTGGCATGGGACAGGTTCCCAGAGAAGCATGCAAATGTCTTTGATATATCAAACTCTAACATATACTGATTTGATTTGATATGATTTATTATTGCCATATGTACCAAGATACAGTGAAAAGTATTGTTTTGCATGCTATCCAGACAAATCATACCTTACATAAATATATCAGGATAATAGAACAAAATGCAGAATATATTGTTACAGCTATGGAGTAAGTGCAGCGAAAGATCAACTCTAATATATGAGAGGTCCATAAAGAGAACATTGTTAGTAACTCTGACAGACTCAAAATTTCAAATAACTATTGGGTTTGCTTCTATCACCCTTCAGTCACTTAAACCTAAAATTTGCGAACTCCTTCCCTAGCTCTCTGCTTCTCTACTTCTGTCCCTTTCTCTCTCTCCTGTAAGACACTCCTTAGAACCTGACTCTTTGATAAAGCTTTACACCACTGTTCTGATATCTCCGACTATGACTCAGCATCAATTTTTGTCCAATCAAATTCCCTTCACAGACTCGCAGAAATGTTACTGGCAGACAATTCAACACATCATGTCTGCTCCAGCTCTCCATATGAGCATTATGACATAGTGCCACTCTCCTGCCTTTTCCCAATCCTTACACGTTTGTGATAGTTGAATAATCATCCTTCTCGCATGCCTCAATTAAACAGTCCTTCAAGCAAAGGGGTATTTTAATATGTTAAAAATTCAAATGAAAGCAATTTATTCTTAATATTGTGACTAGCCTGTTAGTTCGTCATTTACCTCATCTCCTCTCCTATTTTTGTCAATTCTTTGTGAAGTCTGCAGTATTGTCTTCACCCTTTTAGTTTTTGATTCTCAATTTATAGGGACTATTAAACTTTTGAACTCCTACTTGCTCCAAACCACCTGAGAACTAAAAATTAATAATCAAGGCTGGCTTTAAATGCATTTTTGGCACAGCTCCCAATCAAATAACAGGAAAAAATGCCAATGCTCACAAACAAAAAGAAAAGATAAGAAGCTGATTCGTAAACTCCTCGAGGAAAGAAATTAAAACAAGGCGAGACGAAAAGAACATACTTTGACCTTGCAAAAGCTACGATAAAGAGGGAGAACAAACTCAGAAATATAAATCTCTCCACAGTCCATTGAATCCTCAAAAACCCTGAATGTCTGCTAGCGCAGCAATATCTGTAATTTATTTTTGTTACTTTATTTTTTTGTAAGGAGTCATTCTGTTTGACTAAACAAAAAAATTCTGCCTTGCTTGGGGCTTAATGTTCACCCTAGGTCTAATATCACAATGGAAAGAATAAAAATGAGAGCCTTACATGCAGTGACCAAGTAAAAATGATGAAATGATAGCAATAGGCAGACCATGAGTGTGATCAGTGCCTTCAGTGGATGACAAAGTCAGTATTAACTGGAAAAAATGATGCATAGCATAGCAAAGTTGAGACAACTAGCTTGACAGGCAGCTTGACGGTTAGAACTTGTGGCTTCTATTGTCAAATTAATTATGACTGATTGACAAAAATTAGGTCTATCTGTACTACATCAGTGATCATTTCTTGTAACAAGCCAAAAAGCCAAGTTTTACAGGCAGTGAGTGGCATTAAATTAAAAAATGTCACACGAGAGTAATTGTTCCACTTCACAGGCAATTGTAAGTTGCGACAAAAACACAAAATGCTGAAAACACTCAGCAGCTCTGGCAGCGTCTGTGGAGTAAGAAAGTGAGAAACAAAGTTAATATTTCAGGTCAATCACATTTGTAGAATGGTTTTCTGATGAAAGATTATCAACATGAAACCTGCTTTCATATGTTGGAGATTAGAGAGGGATCAGTTTGTTTATTTTCAGAGTTAGATGCCTATTATCATATCAGGCATGGGTGGAGGCTCCAACAAATGTAGTCTTTTTCCAAAGTGACAAAAATAAGACTGGTTTCCAACCAGCTGTAATAATTCACTGGTTATGACAACGTAGTGGATGGAAAATCATACTCATTACAGTCTAGGCATAAACTGAAAGATACGCAGCCACCACTGGCAGACACACCAGCTTCACAAGGGCATTTGCGTTGAGCAATAAATGCTGAGCCAAGCAGCGATGTCCATCTCCCTGAATGAATAATAACAATGCTGGTTTACCATACTCTCAATAGCGAGCTCTGACATGGTGTGTCAGTACATCTTCTGCTGACAGATAGGGGTTGAGTAATATAGTGAGTTGCAACATACAGTACTTCTTTCACCTCTAGGAACCAAATTCAAATCACAGCCAAAGACATAAAGTCTCCTGTCTACTGCTCAGAGTAAAGTACCTGCATGCAATGAATTTGAACATAAGTCCAGCAGCAGTCAGAGACCTGACATGTGTCCCTACTGATAAAGGTGCCCATCAACTCCCTGTAAGTGAGCTGAGTTCTCATTGATTCCGCATTGACCTGAATGGTCAGTGGTGAAACATACCAATGGGCACAGTTCAAAGATCACTTGCTAGATCACATATACACTGAACTTAGATCCCTTTAAAACCAAATCTTAGTAGGTGTATGCCCATAAGGTAAAAATATAATTTAACACTTAGTGAGGAGCCTACGTACAAAAAAGTAAATGTTAATTTCAATGTCTGGACAATCTGATGGAATAAATAGATGAAAGTGAATAGAATGGTACATTAAATAGGACTGCAGTGGTAGATTTGATGTGTGCGGAGTATACTTAAGTTTTACAATAAATGGATCAGTCATTTACAGTACACTTTTTCTCAACTCAGCACGTGAATCATTGATCCTGACAATAAAGGTAAAGAATGTAAAAATGTAACGTGGGAAACTAGAAAACAATTAACTTTACAACATGAGAGGAAGACAGTTAAAGGATATCACAAAAGTATAAAATATTAAAAGGTATAAAGCCAGAAATCATTAATGGAAATGTGAACTTAGAACAGGAAAACCTTACTTATTAACTGTAGTGACTGGAACTAGGTGGACCTCGTTAACTACAAGGTTCTTGATTGGGGATGTTAACCTGGACCAATCAGGAAAGCCTTGGCTGACCATATAACCAGGAGATCACCAGCACATGTGCTACTGCTGGATGGCAGTAGTGTAGGGGAACAACAAGAAGAAAAACATATAAACTGGAGATGTAGCATCTCTAAGAGGGAAAAAAAAAAGTTAAAAAAAGAAAAAATATATAACCAGGAGATTAGAATCTCTTCATTTGAGGACTGACTCCAAGCTGGCTGGCCATGGCCAGTATACTGTGCACAAGTAACTAAAGGGTGACTTGATGACAGGACCCAGCCTCTGTGCAGTTATTCCAGTGGCGACAGGAGAAAACAGGACATGCCTGAAGAACATTTGCTTGTGACTATCATCTTGGAGTCGGGATAAACATTTCTGGTGGCATGGCTCTATTTGGGAAGCTGGCTCATTTGACCCTGCTGTCGAAGACTGGGCCCAGTATGTGGAAAGAATGCGATATTTTTCGCAGTCAAATTAAATTAGAGCAGATGAAAAGCAACGAGTAATCCTCCTGACCGTGTGTGGACCTGCAGCATTTTTGATTATAATAGGCTCAACTTTCCCAGAAGCACTGGACACTAAAACCTTCCAAGACTTGACAGAGTTGATTAAGGAATATTACGACCCCAAACTTCCCCTAAACCTGAGATGCTATCAGGTTTTTTTAGGCTGTTGGAGAACCGGGGGAGTCGGTATTGGGATTTTTGATGAGGTTACGATGACTGACAGAGGCATGTAATTTTGGATTAACCCTGAATGAGATGCTGAGAGACTGTTTGGTATATGGGATGAATCACGTAACCATGCAGATGTGCCTACTAGCTGAAGCCTAACTGTACTTCCAACACTACAGCTGACCTTGTCATTAGAAAATGCGGCAAGTGGAGCATGGGAGCTACAGGGCATCCCGATGGAAGTGGACACCTTCACCTGTCTGACTGAGCTTGGGGAACACCACTTGAGTGTAGACAATCGCAGAGCCTCACACAGGGCATATCCTGAGCAGAGGGACCCCAGGTCAGCCCACAGCAAAATCCCACACAACAAAGCTGAGCCTTGGCCTAGTGGCTAAACAGTTCTTCAGGATCTGGGCCAGAAAGCTATTGTATTTGCTACCCATTTACAGACTCTAGGCAGCAAAGGAGTCCTACAAGGCCTGACTTGAGTAGGAAAACTTGTAGGCCAGTACCCAGGAGAGTGCACGCCCTCGAAAGTTCCCCTACATGCAGGTTGAAGCAGTTAAATTGCTTAGTGACATCCAACTTGGACCCAATTAAAATTAATGTTTGGTTAAATGGTCATCCAATTCCCATAGAGGTCGATACTGGCGCAGCTGTATCTGTGGTTGTAGAATTCGACTATAATAAGATTCGCTTGAGACTCCAACCTTTTAGCTTGTGCAAGACCTCAGCCAGACGGAGAACGTACACTGGGGAACCATTGCACATTAAAAGTACGACTTCAGTTCCGGTGCCCTATGAGAAGCAGTTGGTGCAGTTACCATTGATGGTAGTAAAAGGTTCGGGCCCAAGTTTATTGGAGTGGAATTGCTTGAGAAAGATTCACCAAGATTGGCTCAGCACTTTTCCATTGGAAAATGGTTGCCTCAGTGAAGTCCTAGTGAAATACCCAGGAGTTTTTTCGGAAGGGCTTGGGACCAGGAAGCATTTCCGAGATATTCCAAGGCCCACCCAGTGCCATTTGTCTTCTGGGTAAAAATAGAGGCAGAAATCAGGAGCCTGGAGAGTGAAGGAATCATCAAACCAGTGCAGTTTGTAGAATGGGCAGTACCAGTCATACTGATGGCTCAGTTCACTTTTGTGGGGATTTTAAGCAAATGATAAACTGCTTCTTGCAGCTGGATAAATACCCGATCCCTCGCATAGAGGACTTGTACACAGAGTTGGTAGGAGGGTTGTCCTTTATGAAGCTGACATGAGCCATGCCCACCTGCAATTGCAACTGGATGAGCAGTCCCAGAAGTACGGTACAATTAATACCCATAAGGTTTTATATCAATATACAAGGCTGCCATTTGGTGTATTGTCAGCGTGCGCCATTTTCCAGCGGACCATGGAGAACATTTTACAAGGGCTACCCCTGTTTATCATTTATCTGGATGACATACTAATAACAGGGAAGGCCAATGAAGAGGATGTAGAGAACGTAGACATAGTGCTTAATTGTTTCTCCCAGGTGGCCTTAGAAGGGAAAATGTGTGTTCTAGGCACCCCAAGAGACCTACTTGTGTTACAGAGTCAACAAAACCGAGTTACACCTATTGGAAGATAAAGTGAGGGCCATCAAAGGATCCCCGGCTCCCACCTCTGTACCAGAATTTACGTCTTTCCTTGGGTTGGTGAATTATTACAGAAAAGTCATACGTAACCTGGCCTCCATCTTGGCACTCTTACACCTGCTATTGTAAAGGGGTCAGCCTTGGAAATGGTCACGAAGGGAACATTTAGGGAAGTGAACAAGCAGCTATCGTCATCTCAGATGTTGGCTCACTATGATATGAAGCGAGAAGTAGTGCTGATGTGCGATGCCTCCCTGTACAGTACTCAGGTAGTATTGGTTCACTGGTGACCCAATGAAGAGGAACGCCTGATAGGGTATGCTGCTGGACTTTGGCTGATGCCAAACACTAGCATGCCCAGATTGAGAGGGAAGGTTTGGAGGTCATCTTTGGCATGAGGAAATTCCACTAGTACCTTTGTGGATGGGAATTTGTCATAGTGACAGATCACAAACCCCTGCGAAAGACATTGAAGGAAGACAAGGCCCATAGCTTTTGGGAGAACTCAGCGTCGGGTCCTTATTCTCAGTGCGTACAATTACAAGTTGGAACACCGTCCAGAAAGCCCAAGTGGCTAATGTGGATGCCTTGAAGCGCCTCCCACTGGCAGACAGTCCAGCAGAGATGCCTTCCTGGGAAGAGTCTGTTTTGGTTTTGAAATTTCTGGACACCCTTCCAGTCACCGCAGGCAACATCCGATTGTGGACACAAAAGGATCCTGTCCCAGTGAAACTGAAACAGCTGGTGATAACGGGTGAAGTAAAAGGGCCATCGCAACCAGGATTGAAACCTTTTTGGACCGGCGAGACCAGATCACTGTAGATGACGGCATATTACTGTTGGGAGCAAGGGTGATTGTTCCGGGTAAAGGTTGCTGTCAGATACTGGCCAAACTCCATCAGGATCATCCAGGAGATTTCCAAGATGAAAATCCTGGCAAGAAGCTATGTCTGATGGCTGGGGTTGGATGCCGACATAGCTGCGTTGGTGGGGCAGAACCCAGAATGCCAACAAGGACAAAAATTGCCACAAGCAGCGCCCCCCCCATTCGTGGGCAGGGATGGGTAAACTGTGGACTTAGTTGCATTGACAACTATTCCAGTCCTTTCATGGGCTCAATGTTCCTAGTCATTGTGGACACCCATTCAAAGTGGTTGGTTAGGCATAAAATTTGTTCAGCAAACTCAGGGATGACAATTGAGAAGATACAAGCATCATTTGCAATACATGATCTCCTGCATGTATTGGTCGCGGACAATGGGATGTCATTTACCAGCAGAGAATTTGAATACTTCTTAAATTTCAATGGCATTCAGCACATAAGGACAGCTCCATGCCAACCGTCATCCAGTTATCCAGTGGAAAGAGCAGTTGGCTGAAAGAAACAGCCTACAATGTCAGTTGAGACCAAACTGTCCCGGTTCCAGTTCGATTATAGGACCACCCCCACACGAAACAACAGGAATAGCTCCAGCGGAGTTGCTGATGGGGAGAAGACTCTCCACCAGGTTAAATCTGACAATCCCAGACCTGGATGGGTGAGGGTGAAACAGCAGCAGGAACGCCAATGACGGTCGCATGCTTCCTCTAAGTGAGAGAGACAACTCAGTTCAGGGGATGAAGTTTCATGCCGGAAACATGGGCATGGCCCTGTAAGGGTACGAGGTGAAGTTGGTGCGAGGTCAGGTCCCGTGACTTACAAAGTTCGGCTTGGTGATACAGCCCTGAACAAATGTGCGGATCACTTGAAAGCCTCGCAAACTGAGCAGGAGCAAAGCATACCTGGCCCCTCAGAACAGCCTGAAAGCCCGACAAAAACTGCATTTGCTCCCCCTCCGTCTAGTATCGAGGAAACCTCAGAGTCCAAGATGGATGCAGCCTCGATACCGCTGTCACCGAAAGATGATGAGGAGACTCTTCTGAGATGATCCGGATGCAAGGGACGGGCCATGGTTTGGCACACGGCACCTGTCTCTGAGTCTGAGTCAGAGGAACTGGACCTTGGGCAAACGTGTTGCAGGTAAAGCTACAAGTGATCGACCAGGCCTACATCCCCAGACATGGTGATGGTGATGGTGGTGGTGGGGGGGGGGGGGGGGGGGCGGGTGGGTGGGTAGAGAAGACGTAGTGATTGGAACCAGGTTGACCTCATTAACTGTGAGGTTCATGATTGGGGTTTTTAACCTGGACCAATCAGGAAAGCCTTGGCTGACCAATATAACAGGAGATTAGATTCTCCCCAGTTGAGGATTGACTCCGAGCTGGCTGAGCACAGCCACTGTACTGTGCACTAATAAATAAAGGGTGAGTTGGTGACAGTACACTGGCTTCTGTGCAGCTATTTCACTAAAATGAGTGAATGAGCTAAAATCTTATAATTATTTTCAATTAGCTGCCATAAAGTAAAAAGATGTCCATGACATTCTCTCAAAACTGAGTTTTCTCATTTGCAAATTTCAACCTCAACAAGTCATTAGAATCCATGGCAAACAAAGTAAATAACACACTGCTGCAGAATGTTGTGCAGCAAAACAGCACCTGAAAATTAAAGCTAACTCCTTGTTTGTCAAGCATGTTGGAATAACCTGAGGATATGATAAGATGAAATATGTAACTCCAAATTTTTTTTCTCCTCAGCTTAAATCTAAGATATCTTGGTCCCTAATGAATATTCTCTTAATAGTAATGCAATGCATAATGGATTTAACAGCTATGAAATGTCATGTTTTGCACAAAATTAGAAGATAGAACTGCAAGCCTATATATAGGTAGGAATTAGCCTGGAGGCTTCTGACTGAAATAGGCTTACAGGACTTGTGGTTGGGATAGGAAAGCAATTAATGTTCATATTTTTCTAGTCTAGCTAGGTAAATTGATGCACTTTAAAAAGGCAAATTTAAAGATTACACTCATATGCTGTAGAAAATGTTTGGGCCACTCGACTTTAATATCCCAACCACACTATCTTCAGAAATATACAAACTTCTAAGTGCCGAGATTTGTGTCACCTAAGTCAGAAGCTAGCAAACATGCACTATCAATTTTTGACTTCCATGCATTGATTTTAAATACCTGGTAAAATTATTTACAAAAGGAAAAATACTGGTTTAAGATGGCAGCATGATCACCTGACCACAATTTGAGCCAGTTCATGAAATATCTGTAAACAAAACCAGTTCAAGCTGAAACTAACATGTCATTAAAATGAGTGAAACCAGTCACTCAGTTCTGTATCACCTGTCTGATTTACTCTTTTCTGGAAGTTTCACATATTGCGATGAAAGTCACCTATATATTATCCAGCTTGGAAGAAACAAAGAAGAGGAATAAGGGGAAAAAAAAAGGAATTTCATTTTAGGTAATTGCTTCTAGGCAAAAGAGAAAGAAAGATACTCTTAAGCATGCTCTCTCTCTCTCTCTCTCTGACATCACCACCATTGTAGGTTGGATCGCAAACAACAACGAGACAGAGTACAGGAAAAACATTGAGTGCTTAGTGGCATGGTGTAAAGACAACAATCCCTCCATCAACAGAAGTTGCTGTAAAAACTCAGCAGATCTGGCAGTATCTGTGGAGAAAAATCAGAGTTAATATTTCGGGTCCGGTGGATTTACAGCATCCACAGTTTTTTCGGTTTTTATCTCTCCATCAATGTGAGCAATACCAAGGAGCTGGTCATTGACTTCAGGACACAGAGGGCACGCCCCTGTCTGCATCAATGGTGCTGAGGTGGAGATGGTCGAAAGCGTCAGGTTCCTGGGAGTGATGATCACCAACAATCTGTCCTGGCCCATGCACATCTACTCAACAATCAAGAAAGCACAGTAACGTCTCTGCTACATAGGAGGCTAAGGAAAATTCGGCATGTCAGCAAGGACTCTTACCAATTCTTATAGATGCACCATAGAAAGCATCATATCTGGATGAATTACAGCGTGGTATGACAACTGTCTTTTCCAAGACTGCAAGAAACGACAGAGAGACATGAACAGGGCCCAGTCCATCACGCAAACAAGCCTTCCATCCATTGACACCTTCCAAACTTCCTGCTGCCTCAAGAAAGCAACCAACGTAATCAAAGACCCCTCCTACCCCGGTTATACTCTCTTCCACCCTCTTCCGTTGGGTAGAAGATATAAAAGTTTGAATGTACATACAAATAGATTCAAGAACAGCTTCTTCCCCACTGTTACCAAACTTTTGAATGGACCTCTCAAATGTTAATTTTGATCTCTCTGTCTGTGCACTTCCTCTGCAGCTGTAACACTGTATCCTGCACACTGTTCTGCTACCCTGATGCACTTTGCATGGTACGATCTGCATGTATAGCAGGGAAAACAACACTTTTCACTGTACCTCAGCACACGGGCAACAATCAGTCAATCTATCTATCTATCTACCTCTTTTCTCACAGCCATTTGAAACAACATTTGATGATAAATGCAAATTGAAGTAAAATCCATTTACTGAGAATTCCAAGAAATCTACAAATTTGGTTACTGCTTAAGAAACAAGTCATCAATTAAACAATGTGATCTCAGGTCAAAATCTAACACCTCAAGGACTTTTAAACTGCGTATTCTTGATTTTCCTTTTCATAATTTTTTAAACATTATACCTGGGTTTTTGTGTGTTCTGTTCTGAGGAAATGTCACTGGTCCCAAAACGTTAACTCCGATTTATCTCCACAGATGCTGACAGACCCACTGAGCTTTTCCAGCAATGTGTGCATGTGTGTGAGTGTTTGTGTGTGTGCGATCTCATCCTTTATCATTTTTCTCATGGTTGGTAAGTAAAACAGTTCTCTTCTTTTATTCAAGAAAATTTTGTAATTAGCTCCTTAATTTTGAATAGTACTACATTTTAATTGAAACATGAGATAGTTGCTTGCTAAAAGGAATTAAAAATATTTGTTATGGTCAACTGAGGGGTAATAGTTCCTCACTGTCAGTCATTTCTTGTTTAACCGTTGGTACAACTCTGCACTGTGAGTATTGGCCCTTCAGCCAGGAATCACAATAAGCTAACAAAGAAGTTAATGGCATCTTCATTGCTCATTTCATATAATCTGTACATCTAAAAACACTTCACAACCACTGGAGTACTTTTGAAATGTAATCATTGTTATGTTGCAGTCAAACATGACAGCCAATTTGAGAACAGCAAGGTCTCACAAACAGTTATGAGATAAATGACAAGGGAATCTTGTTCCTTTATGAAAGTGATCCAGATGTCTTCATCTTCATAAATGGATACTATCTCTCTCTCCTCCGAACAGCAACATAGGGTTTTTTTGTCAATAAATGTCCATATTACAGAGGAAGAGGCGCTGGTCATCTTAAAATGCATAAAAGTGGATAAGTCCCCAGGACCTGATCAGGTGTATCCTAGAACTCTTTGGGAAGCTAGGGAAGTGATTGCTGGGCCCCTTGCTGAGATAGTTGTATCATCGATAGCCATAGGTGAGGTGCTAGAAGACTGGAGGTTAGCTAATGTGGTGCCACTATTTAAGAAAGGTGGTAAGGAAAAGCCAGGGAACAATAGGCCAGTGAACCTGACATTGGTGTTGAGCAAGTTGTTGGAGGGAATCCTAAGGGACAGGATTTACATGTATTTGGAAAGGCAAGGACTGATTAGGGACAGTCAATGTAGCTTTGTGCATGGGAATTCATGTCTCGCTAATTTGATCAAGTTTTTTGAAGAAGTAACAAAGAGTTTTGGTGAGGGCAGAGCAGTGGATGTGATCTATAACGACTTCAGCATGGGATTCAAAAATGTTCCTCAAATGTAGACTGGTTAGCAAGGTTAGATCACATGGAGTATAGGGAGAACTAACCATTTGGATACAGAACTGGTCCAAAGGTAGAAGACAGAGGGTGGTGGTGGAGGGTTGCTTTTCAGACTGGAGGCCTGTGACCAGCGGTGTGCCACAAGGATCGGTGCTGGGTCCACTGCTTTCCGTCATTCATATGATTTGGATGTGAACATAGGAGGTATGGTTAGTAAGTTTGTAGACGACACCAAAATTGGAGGTGTAGTGAACAGCAAAGAAGGTTACCTCAGAGTACAACGTGATCTTGATCAGATGGGCCAATGGGCTGAGGAGTGGAAGATGGAGTTTAATTTAGATAAATGTGAGGTGTTGCATTTTGGAAAGGCAAATCAGGGCAGGACTAATACACTTAATGGTAAGGTCCTAGGGAGTGTTGCTGAACAAAAAAACCTAGAGTTCAGGTTCATAGTTCCTTGAAAGTGGAGTCACAGGTAGATAGGATAGTAAAGAGGCATTTGGTATGCTTGCCTTTATTGGACAGTGCATTGAGTATAGGAGTTGGGAAGTCATGTTGCGACTGTACAGGACATTGGTTAGGCCACTTTTGGAATACTGTGTACAATTCGGGTCACCCTATTATAGGAAGGATGTTGTAAAACTACATAATGTTCAGAAAAGATTTACAAGGATGTTGCCAGGGTTGGAGGGTTTGAGCTATAGGGAGGGGCTGAATAGGCTGGGGTTGTTTTCCCTGGAGGGTTGGAAGCTGAGGGTTGATCTTATAGAGGTTTATAAAATCATGAGAGGCATGGATAGGGTGAATAGCCAAGGTCTTTTTCCTGGGTTGGAGGAATCAAAAACTAGAGGGCATAGGTTTAAGGTGAGAGGAGAAAGATTTTAAAAGGGACATAAGGAGGAACATTTTCAAACAGAGGGTTGTGTGTGTATGGAATGACCTGCCAGAGGAAGTGGTGACGGCTGCACCAAGGAAAACAACTCCAGCCTATCTCGTCTCTCTTCATAGTAACACCCTGGTGAATCTCCTCTGCACCCTCTACAATTACAAAATTGAAAAGGCTTCTGGATGAATATATGAATAGGTAGGGTTTAGAGAGACATGAGCCAAATGCTGGCAAATGGGACTAAATTTGTCTAGGATATCTGGTTGGCATGAACGAGTTGGACCGAAGGGTCTGTTTCCATGCTGTATATCTCTATGACTCTATGTAAGAATAGATCAGTTTTA